TTAAGGAAATTAAAGCAAACTGACAAAGATTCAGCTACTGAAATTAATTTTTCTTATAAGTTTATATACTATCACTCAGTTAAGATGGGCTATGCTGTTTATATTAAATGAAAATGTAAATTAATAAAAGTAAGCTTAAAATTTAAATCAGATAATTTTTTACGCTTTTTTTTTAAAAATTGCATAATACTGTACAATCATCTTGCCTTAAAATGAACACTGATAAAACAAATTCTTATGTTAAAGTGAATTTTGTTGTTTTTCTTGCAAAAGCAAAATGCCATTGTCACAACATTAATTTTTACATGATAAAGCAAACAAAAATGTTACCAGATTTATTAAATCAAACTGTAAATTACCTTCACAACCCCAAGAAGTAAACCTGTTTCTAATAATGGTTGTATTTTACACTTTTTGCATGAACAATAAAAAGTCATACAGTAGAGTCACGAAAACTTGGCCTAATGTGGACCGAAGAGTGGCTGAGTTTGTGAAAATGCCAGGTTATCGGGAATGGGGTTAAAAAAGAATAAGTATGAGTGTTTCCTCAGAAAATACTGTACTGTACTTGTATGTATTGTTTGCTTGAGAATACAACAGAGAATAAACTGCCCAAATATCCTCAAACAAAGGAGAAGAATGTACTTTATGAAGGCATAGAGCCTTTACTACATGAAAATAAGAATTAATGAATACACAGTGTACAATAATTTACCTGATAAGACAGATCTCAGAAAAACACTTTATGAGGCATAAAGCTGTCTATAATGAAAATTAACTAGGGGTTTTTTTACCCTGACAGAGTGTGGCTGAGTTATTCGGACTGCCGGGTTATCATATGCCAAGTTTCTGGGACTCTACTGTACTATAATAAATGTTTTATTTTGAGTAGAATAAATTTCCTTCTCCTAGTAAGCAGAGATGTGTTTGACCTCTAATTGTAGAGCAATTCAAACATCTTGTTTTAGTGGACCATTCTGCTATACTTAGAAAATAGGGATTAAAACTTAAGAATGTCCATCCATTTAAATAGTTGCAGTCCCATGAAAATGCTTGCTAGTTTGCATATCTGGGAGTATATACAGTGATGCTAGGTTTGGCTACTTTGCAACAAATTTGGCTATTTTTTCACTCTTTTGTCATGAAAAATATTTTCTACTTTTTCAAACTATCTTCAACAGAAAAATATCACAGACTAGCAGACTCTGCCACGCGTTGTTGTGGCTCAAAATGTATCTATTATAAATGTATAACACTTTCCCCGGGGGGGGGGATTTTTCGAAAAAACCTTTTTAGTGTACATTCTCTTGACGTACCCTATTAAAACACAATCAAAAATGCAAAAAACCGCATCTGAAATAGTATAAATAGAAGCAGAGTTCTTTACTATAAGCCTTAATCCTGTCCATCTCCCCCCAGTGCGGGAAATTTCGACATGTATATTATATAAAAACACGTGCGTATTCGAATGTCAAAATTTCGTTGTCAAAATTTCAAAGGAATCACTAGGAACAAACGAACATTACATTTTTATTTATATAGATAGATAGAAGATGATCTGCTTTAGTTCATCCTCACAGAAAAGCATAATGCCTCACAGAAAAGCAAACTTAGGGTGTTGTACTCGTAGTGCCATCTGTTGGACATAAAAGTTAAGGATGCATCGATTAATCGATAAGTAATCGGTAATTGGCCGTATCGGCCACTTAGCCGATTAGTTGGTATCGGCCATTCCCCCCGATTAATCGGTTTCGGTAATCGGCCAATTTTACATTTTGGTATTTTTGTTAGAATGTTACGTACAATGCTAGTAATAAAAACTAATAAATTTCTGTTATATATTTATTATTTATTACATGACAATCTGAATATTAAAAAATTTTACTAATCAAATTATTCCTTTTATCGATACATATTATAAGTATAATATAACATATAATATAAAGTTTAAACTTTACATAAGAAAAAGTATTGAATAGGTTAAGAAGAAAGATTAAATTTTTATTTGTTTCATAAGTTTAAAGTTTAAACATATAAAACAAATAAAAATTTAATATTTAAACTGTAAAACCCTTAAATTGTAATGCAAAAACATGAGAATTTCATCACTTTCAGGGCATAACCTATTTTTTCCGGCTCATAAATGTTACCTCCAGTGCTGAAAATTTTTTCACTTTCAATGGAAGAGGCAGTTAAATATTTCATAGCTATTTTGCTCAAATTAGGGATAAATGTAAATATGTTTTTAATTCTTGATCGAAACATTTGTTCGTCTCTTTCGTTTTTTTTTCTCTTTCTAAAAACATGCTATTCTTCATTCTTTCATTTACCAGATGTTAATTCATCAAATAAATCAGAAAAACTTAGAAATTCATCTCCATCTTGATCACCTCTAGAAGTAGAAGTTTCAGAATTTAATTCTTATGGAGATTTCCTTTAGAATATCCTCTTTTTGAAATTTCATTTTGAATCTAATAAAAGTGACAAGCATAAAGACTTGTTTTCTATATATGCTGAAAATCTTTTTTTTATTGGATTTTCTAGTTCTTCTGTTGTGGTATTAATGCCACTAAAGGAACTACTGATCTTTGCTTTTGATAAGAATAATTTCAGAGTCTCTATTGTGGGAATTATTGAAGATGAAGTGGCTTCTCGTTTGCTTCTTCGTTTGCTGGCTTTCACAGTAATTTCTTAGAATGGTTTTACAAGTAGAACAATTTTTTCAACGAGAGACCACTGATATGGGCTCAACATAGGAATTTTATTATCTATTGTATATGTGACAAGGGCCTTTTGCTGTTCCAATATGTAGTATGTAGAATTCCAGCGAGTAGGAACATCTTGAATTAATTTGTGTTTCTGCAAACCTAACTTTTCTTGCAAATCTTCTAATTTGATTACAGCTACAGCAGAATGATTAAAATGTGTGACAATATTTCTATTAACTGTGATTATAGTTTTCACATCTTGTTTAGAAAATATGCATTCGTTTAGTGTCAGCTGCAGCGTATGATAATGCTTCTAAGTTGCAATTCCTAATTCCAGCTACCAGATTTGCTGCAGAATCTTCAGTACTAAGAATATCTTATCACTTGTCAACTTATACTGTTCAAGAACAATTTTTAACTGTTCACTGATTTGTGTAGCTGTGTGGGAACCTTCAAAGGAAACAATTTGCAAAACAGCTCATTCCTGCTGAAAATCATCCTTCAACCAGTGAGCTGTTACACTTAAAAAAGGAGAATTGTTTGTAGTTGCTGTCCAAATATCAGCGGTTAAAGAAATATATTTTGTTTCTGTTAAACACAGAAACACTTTAGCTTTTTAAACAATGTCGAAGTTTTCATGCGTCAACAATTAAGTGTTGAGATTTATTTTAGAAACAAAGGAAGAGATTGTTGATTTTGAAAGGATATTCGATTTTCTCGTTTACCTGACCCGAGGGAGATGGAAATACCAGGTGGAAAAAAATGGGTTTTTCCACATTATAATTAACTACAGGATCTCTCACTATTAATGCAATAAATTATTAACACTAATCGGCCGATTAATCGGTATTGGCCGATAATGCATGGCCAATTAATCGGTAATCGGCCATTTTGCTTATCGGTGCATCCTTACATAAAAGCCTTAGCCTTAGATGACATGTTTTAATTTATATGAATGTTTACGGAATAATATACAGCCTATGTCCACCCTGAAGTTTCATTCTAAATATTGATAAAAGAATTTTTGAAATTGGATGAATAGTTTTGGAGATTACCCACTACATCCAAACTTACTTACTTACTTACAAACATTACCTCTTTATAATATTAGTATAGATTTCTTTAGCTTTGTTTTGTTTAACCTCTTTGATATACTGCTCTATACTTAAATGGCAAATACCATCTCCTCCTCATTTTGTTTGATTTGAAAATCATTTAGAACAATTTGTTTTATAAATAAACTTTATTTAATTTTATTTAGTAAATTAATTCAATTAAAGAGATTTCAATTGCCTATTAAGCTTGAACTCCCTAAATTATACAACCTTGATCCTGAAAATCATTAATGCAATTTTCAATAAAGCAAACTAACTACTAGTTTCCTAGCAATTCATATTAATGCAAGTTTACCCATAATTTAATATTCCAAAAACTATAATTTAATATTTCAATGNATTCTAAATATTGATAAAAGAATTTTTGAAATTGGATGAATAGTTTTGGAGATTACCCACTACATCCAAACTTACTTACTTACTTACAAACATTACCTCTTTATAATATTAGTATAGATTTCTTTAGCTTTGTTTTGTTTAACCTCTTTGATATACTGCTCTATACTTAAATGGCAAATACCATCTCCTCCTCATTTTGTTTGATTTGAAAATCATTTAGAACAATTTGTTTTATAAATAAACTTTATTTAATTTTATTTAGTAAATTAATTCAATTAAAGAGATTTCAATTGCCTATTAAGCTTGAACTCCCTAAATTATACAACCTTGATCCTGAAAATCATTAATGCAATTTTCAATAAAGCAAACTAACTACTAGTTTCCTAGCAATTCATATTAATGCAAGTTTACCCATAATTTAATATTCCAAAAACTATAATTTAATATTTCAATGCATCTCCTAGTTTAAAATAAATTAGGAAATGCATTGAAATTATCCAACAAATATATATATAAATTATTATTACAGATCAATAATAATAATTTATATTGATGTGTTGGATTATAATTTAGTTGATTTACTTTTATTATTAAAATAAATGATTATTTATCTGTTACAAAGTTGATTATCGTATAAATTAATATAGGAAAACTTGAATTTGGAAAATGCATTGCAAATCTTTTAAAAGATTCAAATTGTTTAGAATCTTTTACATATAGGTATTAATGCTAATTTAAAAGATTCCAATTACCATTAAATATTGTTATATAATAGCTATTTATATTTTTTTTATAATTGATGATCATTAAATTTCTGAAATGAAAAACTTTTTTGCAGACATTAAATCGGAGTAAGAGAGCTCGTGAGGTAGAAACACTTTTACAAGAAAATGAAAGTTTACAACGTAAATTACAAAGCCAAGAAGATGAATTTCGTCTACAAAATACTACTTTAGTACAAGAATTATCAACTGTAAGTCTAGTATAGTAATAAATATTTGTTATTCTTCAAGAAAATATTGCCAATTGTAATTCAATAAAGATGGCATTTAATATCTGTCTTATTTATTAAATGCCTATGAAGTGGCTTTAGAGGAATATAACATAACTTTGTTATTATCATAAATGTGAATTATTAGATGTATTGGGTTGTTTGGAAAGTAATTTCATTTTTTTTCGTGGAAAAAAAACAATATTTTTATAATAAATAAATATTTTATTGAATTATATATTGACCATTTTGGTCAAATTCCTGTTGTCATCGTTTCTGACAGTAGCATGATTTCACATTCATAAAAGTTTTGATTGTTGCTTACAAAAAACTGATCCAAGTGATTTTTGACATTGTCATTTCAAGTAAATGTCTTACAGTTAAAAAAAAATTTGTATAGACCAGAACAAGTAATAATCTGAGTGTGCTCCATCTGGCGAATATGGTTGGTGTGATAGCATGTCCCATCTAAGTTATAACAGTTTCTGACAAGTTACCAAACTTATGTGAAATTTGACATTATTGTGGTAAAATATTACACCTGTTTTGTTGATTAATTCTGGCTGTCTTTTCTGTTTGATGATATTACTCAATTTGTTTACTTGATGGCAGTACACTTTCAAATTAATTGTTAAATTGTTTTTGGTTTGGTAAAAGCTCCAAAAAAAATTTCCTTAAAATCCCACCAAAAAGAGCATCTCTCTTTAAGAACACATACATCGAGGAACCCATACATCGTGGAACCCATACATTGTGGAACCTATACATTGAGCTTTGAAATGAAACCAATTTGTTTCAAGTAATCATATACAGTTCAGTTTGGCAAATTTAATCTCTTAGTGATTTCCCCTGTTGTTATTTGGCAGTTTGTTTCAATCAGTCCCTTTATTTTGTTTTCATTGGCTTCAACTGGCCATCCAGAATGTGGTGCATCTTCAATATTGAAATTGCCAGAACAAAATTTTGTAAACCAGTTTTGGCACTGTTGTTCTGTCAATACATCTTCTCCAACGTCACACAATTTTTTTTCTCGCTTGAACAGCATTCTTACCTTTTCGGTAATAAAAGAGCAAAATATGCCGAAAATTCTGCTTTCGATCTTCCATATTTGATGGGACACAAAAAATAAACAATTGCTCAAAATCAAACAAAATTTTTTACAAATAAGCCTTAAAATGCTAGCTGTCAAAATATATAATGATAATACAGTTTAGAATGAAAATGGAGGGAAAAATACGACTAATCAGTCTAGTGGTAAAAAAAATGAAATTACTTTCCAAACAACCCAATATATTCTTTAAATTTTTTTAAGTGCTTAAAAATTTATATTCATAGCTTACAGTATTATAATATGTTAACATTATTTAACAATCTTCAGAATGATTTCAAAAAGTAACTTCTAATCTGTGAACAGCATTTGGCATAAAATTTATTTTTTATTTTATATAAAATTAAAATTTTGAGTTGTATTTTGAGCTATTGAAAAATAAAAATTATTTCTAGATATATTTTTTTTATTTAATTTTTGTTAGAACAATAAAAAAAAATTATATTTTTTTTACATTGCATAACTGACTTTAATAGCACAGTTAAATTTTTCTTTATAAAATGCACTTTTTTGTACTTAAACTATATACAAAAATTAGGGTGTGTCTCATAAGCTGAATGCATCTTATACTCTGAAGAATATTTTCCACCAAAAAATTGACATGAAAAATGTGATGCATCCAATACAACAGTGCAGCTGTTGTATTGGATGTCTGTTGATTTTCTTCAGTATTTGTTTTGTGTAATTATTATTCTTCTTGCAATCTGATTGATGATGATATACAATTAAAATTAGAAAGAAATAATAATTGTTGAAATATATAATTTATATTTCATTATACATGGTGTTTGATTTTTCATAGTACTGTATATTATCATTTTCTTATTGACAAATTGGATGATTTGTTTTATTTATGCTATAACATTCATTAATAGCTAAGTATTTATTATTTGATTCTATTGAATTTTAATAAAATATAAGAAAGTCTGAAACAATTATAATATAAATTTTTATTTTGGTTTAATAACCAACCAAAAAATATATATAAATTCTTATTCAATGTTTTATATAAGAGGTTTATCTCTGTATTATAATGTTATTGTTTTCTTAATTTTTTAATTTTTGATATAAAGTTAAATGAAGAATAGAAGAAAAAAGACATTTATTATATTTATTATATACTGCCCATATAAATTTTTATCTAAATTCAATTATTAAAAACCAATGGGATCAGTATAAATATTAACACACTAAAATTAAATTTTTAGTTAAAAACAAGTAAAATTATACTCTTTCTATTTCTGACTTTGAGGATTCTATGAGCCAAAAAATGACAAATAAATGGCAAGGAACAATCATTATTTTATTAATACGATCCAAATGCATTTCGCCATCAGGCCTCCTCCATGGATACATCAAGATAACAATCACTGGTTATGCTTTATATCCAACAGTTGTTCCCAACATGCATCAACAACCATTCCAGCATTCAAATTAAGTACATTTGCATGTTTGGCGATACAAAATTGTTCTACAATTTTTCTTTCTAAATTATTTTCTATTTTATACAATATTTTAGTATTTTTTCTACTTATATTACAGTTAAATTCTCTACAATGTAAAAACCATGCTGATTCTGTTCTTCTCAGTCTAACGGCCACCTCATGTTCTTTTATTTGCAACTCCAATCTTCTTCCAAAACGGAAGATTGGAGTTGCAAATAAAACGGAAGATTTGAGTTTTCTCCAATGTAATAATTTGGTCTTCTACATGTACATGACATTCTGTATACCACACCGGCGATCTTAAATTGGTCTCTGGGCGAATTTTCACTGTTTATTATACTGATAATATTTGACATCTTATTCTTTTGGTTTGCAACTATACATATAGAAAATTCTTTAAATATTGGTTTATATTTTTCAAAAATATTAGTAACATAAGGAAACTTTACATAAGAAATATCTTCTGTCATTTTTAACATTAAATCTACATTTTAAATATGAATTGTACCACTTACAAAGGATATACTTCAGATAATCATTTAACAGAAATTTTTTAAATAATTGATTTACTTCAATGTCTATATTTTCTTGCTGAGTTGTTCGATTCAATATCTTTCTCAATTCCATAATAAAAACATTCCTTTTATTTTCTATAGGAAAGTAAGATTTAAACTTAATAGTTTTACTATCATTACATAGTTTTTCATACTTACTAAATGATATACTTGTTTCTTCTCTTTTTATGGTGACATCCAAGAAATGATTGTTCCTTGCCATTTATTTGTCATTTTTTGGCTCATAGAATCCTCGAAGTCGGAAATATAAAGAGTATAATTTTACTTATTTTTAACTAGAAATTTAATTTTAGTGTGTTAAATTTTCATCTGTATTTAAAAATCATTATAATTAATCTTTAGTTTATTATATTCATATTGTATATAATTGTAATATATACAATTCAAAGTCTATTTAAATCTCTATAGCATATTTTAAATTTAATGAAATTTTTGTCTTGTAATCTAAAGATAGTCCATTAAATGAGTTAAAAATATTTGTTTGAAATATAATGTTTCCATTACTAATGTGTATATTTTGTTTATAATATTAACAAATATGATATGATAATGAATTCTGCCAATACAATTCAATACTGACAATTTTCCAACAATCTAATCTGATTCTTGCATCTATCCATACTTCACAGGTATTGGTAATAAATGAAAAGACTGAAAGCTCATTGCTTTAGAGAATATTCATTTCATCCACTAACCATTTAAATTCAAATATAAAGAAATAAAAATGTTTACAAAAATTGATTTACAGATGCCTTTCAGATCTGGGAATAGGCAGTTGTAATTGTTTACTTTGTTTAGGCATGACTTCAGTTCTGTTTTTAGAAAAAAATTCAACACACTTTGAATAAATTTGTAATAGCATAGAAAAATTACCAGATTGAAAAAATTGCTGCCAAATTGCCATATGGCTTGAAATATTGTCAAATCTAGCAATAAATTGCCAGGCTTGATGACTTTGCTCATCCATCATTACACAGCACTCTTACTAAGTTGGTGCCCTCTAAAAATAACAATCAACCTCACATGGCCATCAGTAGCAAATCAAGTGCAAAGAGAATGCTCTGTCTACTAGCTTATAGGTTAGTTTTACAGTGTGATATGTTGATTGCTGTGTCCAAATGCCTGCTATGGCAAAATGGTATGAAAGTGCTTATCAGAAAAAAAAAGGAGGTCAGAATATCTAATCGTAAAACTGATTTTGATATATTGGAACATTCTGATACACCAATATATAAGATTGATATTGGTTATGCCTCTAATTTCTAATTATTAGTGGATATTTCTTTTTTCCAATATAACTACTAGGAATACATACTAAATTTACAGTAATTAAAAATATTCTGATGCAAAAGTTGCATTATTGAATATCTCAACAACTTAAAAAAATTTTTTTAATATTTGTGTTTTTAATATGATATTTAAACTCATTTAATAAATATAATCTGTTTTCAGAAAGCAAATTTTTTTATTAGCTAGCATATTTTAAATTTTATTGTCTATTTTTTTATTTTAATTGTTAAATGTGTGATATTGTTATTAATCTTACAATGTTTTTAATATTTGAAATTTAAAATATGATTTTGTTACAGTTGATTTCAACAAATGCTGCTTTAGAAAAAGAATTAAAAGCAGCAAATATAGAAAATAGCGATGGAAATAAGGAAAATATCTCTTCCGATTTAGAAAATGAAATAAGGCATTTACAAGCTGAAAATGCAGCACTTTTAAAATCTCTTGCAGGTAAATTACCAAATATTTTAACTTATTAAAAATATTATCAATAAATGTAATATTGTGATAAAAATAATCGTTATTAAAAACAATGGAATGTATACTGAAAGTAACTTGTTTGTGCTAGTTTTTATGAAATGAAAAGTGATAAATAATTTATTTTGTAAAAATAAAAAGTTTTTTAGTCAATAAATTATATTTCATTATTCAGAAATTGTATAAGATGTTCTAAACTACAATGGAATGTAGTTTAATAATCAGGCATGTATATTACTTGGAAAGAGTATATTAATTACTCTTTCTGACCTGTGGACACTAAGATGACTTTTTTGTCAAGCCAATTATGGGTTCAGCTAAGACAGCAATAGTGCAACCAGGTGATGAGGAATGGGCCCAGCATATCCAGGATGAACCACCACTCCAAAAAAATTCATGGGATGTTTTGACCCACCCAAGTTAACTACCAGGTCCTCTAAAGCAATAGTGTGACATCTTAACTGCTTGGCTATCTGGCCATTGGAATATATATTTTAAAGAACCATTACATACTTTTATTCTTTTCTCTAATATAAAAGTATTAGTTATGATAATTTCTATTATATCTTCATTTTTTTTGTTTTTAAATAACTTTCACAATATTATTGATTTACTATACTTCAATAACAGTAGCATTATATACTGTTGGAAAAGTTTTAAAACGTAATAAATTTTATACATACTTGTGAGTACTATGTTGGAAACTTTATTCTTAGACTTATTACATCATCACTGGACACAAGAACAGCATTAGAAAACCAATTTATTTTTGATTTTCTAAGGCTTATTCTTGTGTCCATTGAAGTGTAATAAGTCTAAGAACAAAGTTGCCAACATAGTGCTCACAAATATATACCAAGCTAGACAAGAAGTGTATTATAATAATTTTTTTTATGAATGTGTGTTATTATATAAAAAATGAGATCAACAGTCAATGAAAATAGACAATACTTGAAAATTTACTATTATTTCTAAAATTTACATTTTTTTGTTTTATTTGTATAATTTTATTATATTAAATTTGCATATATCTGAGTATGAATCTTTTTGATTTGTTTTATTTTTATTAGCACATTAGATGGTCTGTTACAGATATTTTACATGTAATTACGTAGAACCAAAACATTTTTGATGATTTAATATTGTTATGCAGGCTAGGTTGTGTATATGGATCTCAAATTTCTGTGAAACTGTACTAATATCATTATACAAGTTGTGAAATTTTATTACTGTCTCTTAATTTATAGTAGGATGCCTGTTGGGGATTCTCTCATATTGTCAGTTTTTGTTAATAAATCTTTTTGTATTCTATATTTTGAGTTGACACTCCACTACTTTTTTCTTACTTTTTCAGATTACATCTAAATTCCTGTTCAAGTCAAAGGAGTTTGCTTTTTTTTTAATATTTGGGATTTCCTATCAGGCATAGTAGAATGCCTGATAGGAAAATGCCATTAGGCTTTTTCTAAAAGTAATAGCCATAAATTTTAAAATTTTTTATATACCACATAAAACCATCCCTCATTATATTTTTCTTCAGAAAACATTGAAATTCTTCTGAAAAAAAGTGCTTGCTTCATCACTTAAAGCAAGTTTTAGTGCAAGCCCAATGAGCTTGCACTAAGGCTGATGATTATATAATAAGCTTCAAAGTTAAATTTGTTATAGGTAATCCAAGATGTGTAATTCAATTATTCCTCTATTAAACACTGCTTTCAGAAACTAAACACCTCCAATGAAAAATATTACACAGTTAAACTCCTTTTTTTGTAATTATGTTGACAGACAATAAAGTCAATAAATTTTCCATTAAATTTCAAAAACAAAAGTGAGTTTGAAGCATACTTTAAAGTGAGTCACAGCTAATACTTTATACAAATCAAAAAAACAAATTGACCAATTTTCTCTGAATTTTTAGGTATTAGGTATATTAAAAATCTAGTACAAGACAGAAAAAATGAAGAGGATATCCTTACAGGCATCATTTCATGATACATTTGAGGGGTACCTGACTGCAGGTTAAAGTGATATGGACATGAGGCATATGCAGTTTTGAAATTCTGTTTAAAATAGTATATGTTTCATTCCTAAAACCAGATCATCATAGTTTAGAACATTTTCAAAACAAGCTTTTTTACCAGATTGACCATAATTTTTAATTGATATACTTAAAAATTAGTTTGAATACTATCAAAAGAGAATTTTTCCAATGCTGTAAGGAAGGATATATTTTAAATTGAAAAATAACCTAATTTAAAAACTATTAAAAATGTGTTGTCCAACACTGAATATTTTTTTGAAATTCAAAACAATATCATTTTACCTATTAGTTAATGACTAATATGTAAAAATAGAAATATCAAAACAACAAATGATTAAAGCTACTTGACACTCAGTGATCAATGAAATTATGATTCATTATATTTTGGTGTGAAGCAGTGAAGACAGAGTATAATTTATGATATAAACATACTGTGGGATTCTGACCCCAGCAAATGCCATCAAGATTTAGGATCCTAAATATGAACTTAAATTTTTGCTAAATTTGAATAAGAATGGACAAATTATATGAAATTTAGAAATGATGTACCAAAACTGACAATTGAAGATGTTGAAAGTAAACTGGAAATAGATAAATCACTTTTATATGTATGTACAGTATACATATATAAATACAAATATGCATAATCATTGACAGAGTTTAATATATACATTAAAATTTAAAAATGTATAATTTTTCAAAAATTGATTAGTAATATTTTGATTAGTAATCACTTATTATTTATCAATTTAATTTATACTGTTTATTTTTAGAATAAATAATACCATTCATATATATTTGTAATAATACATTTTAATATGTATAATATTTATGTTGTTTTAATTATTTTAGAAAGCAGAAAACAATATGAAACTGAAATTATTTCTTCAAAAGCTACAAGGTTTGAAATATTTTGTTTTTAATATTGATTTTAATAATCTAATACATTTCATACAATGATAATTATTCAAAATAAAAGTATATAAGAAGTTAATTATCATCATTCTATATTAAGTACTATTAGCTATCAATTGACTGTAATTAATATACTTCCATTTTATGTTGATCAAACATGGAATAATAATTAGATATGAAATTGAACTATGAAAGTACAGCATTTCATGAACTAAGATTTGTTTGTGGGAGTCTGTAAAATAATTGTGATCTTTTGCAATTTTGTTATGCAGAATTCAGAAACATTATTCATTTATTCTAATCATGTTGAGTTTTCTCAAAGTAATGAAAATAAAAATCCTATATATCATATGCATTACATTAACATATATTTATTTCAGATATTAGATGTTTAATGAAAATAAGAAAGAAAAAAATGTTAAAAATATAGGCTAATGTTAAATTAAAACAAACAACAAACAAACAAATATTAATATGCACCAAAGTTTAGTACTTTTATTTTCATTTTTGTTGTCTACAGTGAAGAAAAACATGATTTTATTGTTATAAAGGATTGAAAGAGGATCTAAGTTAAAGAAGATACACAAAAACAATATTGTAAGTGTAGCTACTATGAATTAAAATTGTTTTTATCTTTCATATTTAATAACTAGAAGTTTTCAATTTAGTACATTTAAAAATAAATGTAAATGAAAAATGACAACACTATGCAAAGCAATATAAAAGAATAAATGTAAAAGAGTTTTAAAAAATTTTGGAATTACATTTGAACATATTTGAATATTAGTAAATTAGTAGAATTGATATATATATGCAAATTAATTTGATTGAATCTTATAAATGAAAAGATCCATGTGAGATAGTAGCTGTAATTGAAAGATTTAAAGCAAGGAACAGTAGAAAGAAACATAAATATAAGAAGTGTGAAAAATTAATGCAAAAAACAAAAGAACAATAAAATTTAAACAATTTAACTTTATTTTTACTAACTTAAATAGTTAAGTTTAGTTCAAGCTGAGTACAATTCACTACTGAAAGTGAAAAACAGTGCAAATGACATGTCAGACATGGTCATTTCTGGCAAAGTTTACCATTTTGCAAATTGCTTTTGAAGTTCAGAACTGTACAGCTGTTCTTGCTAGTGAAAAAATTTAACCACCAATTGCATTCCTGCCAGTTGTCACATGGCTCTGTTGTCTTCAAGATGGCTGCAGAAATGCAATAGAGTAGATGTTAAAATTCATGCTTTTTAAATACCATATATTCCGGCATATAAGACGACCCCCGACTTTTACAGTTAAAATATTGGGATATACTCGCCCTATAAGTCAACACCCGACATAAAAGGTGATCCCCGACTTTTGAGAAGATTTTCCTGGGTCAAAAAGTCATCTTATACACCGGAATATATGGTATTCCTCTCACCCAACTTTGTTTTCTTTTTGATGTATCTTTTTTTTTTTCAATAAATAAACAAATGTGGTGGTTAACAACAGAATATTGGAAGTAGCCATTTTGTTTTACGACATGACATTTTCTCTTGCTTGCAGTTGATTGGCTGCTTAAAATTTGCAATCACTTTTTGCTTTTCGTTGTGTGGATCAATTTTGCTAAGTGAATAAAAATTGCTTTTCTCATTTGCTGTCTCTATTTGCTCAGTATAAACTATACTGTAGCTTGTAATTTTATAGTAATTTTATAAATAATTATATTTCTTTAAAATATTTAATAACATTTTAAAATGAGCGTCATTTCAATTTTAAAAAAATATTTCAAAAGAATAAGTTCTAATTACTGTTTTTTATTAATTAATTTAATAAAAATTAACATGATCTAATTTTTAATAAAAAAATTTCTAGTTAAAAATAGCTGAAAATTTTTTGTAATTTTCAGCATTCTCTGAAGTAAAAACTTATACACTTTTATTTTGAGAATGTAAAGAGTTAATTTAAAATAATTTTTATTGTTTGTATATGATTTATAATAAGTAGTTTGAGTTTTGGTTTTTATTTTTATAAAGTAAAAAATGTTATTTGAATTAATAGAAATTGTGATGGAGATATAAAGGTAGCTGATCCATTGACATCAGAAAATTATGAAAACATTGTTGCTTTGAAAGAGCAATTAAAACAATTTACAGGTAATGAAATATTTAAATAATTTATTATATAATATAAATTCAAAAATAGATTAGGATATAAAATTAAGATATTAGAAGATAGATTATCTTCTGATATATTAGATTAAAATTAAAACGAAGTACTATTAATGTTTTTAATGTTAAATTTCTTAATGTTGAATAATTTTTATATTTCAAATTCTGTAAAATTTTGCAAGTTTATTTAGTAAACAAAATTAGTGAATTTGTAAAAGAATTGAAGTAATTATTAGCCTTTTTACTGTCAACATAAATTATTAAATACAGGTATACCTCGCCTTACATCGGTAATTGGTTCCCAGGAGAACGACGTAAGTCAAAAAACGACGTAAGTCGAATTTACTTGTCTCCGAATCTACTTGTCACTAGGCTAAACTATAAATTACCATTCCCGGTTCTGTATTTTATTTATTAGTGCATTTTTAATAATATATGGTTAATAAAAATCTATTTTAAGCTTACAAACAAATAAATTTTAGTTTTTAGTATAGTACAGAAAAAAGTACAGTGGTGCCTCGTATAACGTACGCCTCGAATAACGGACGCTGCGAATAACGGACTTTCCGTTCGGCAGTTATGTGAGACGAACAATGGACTTTTTTCGAACAAGTGCGAATGATGTTTCCACTCTTTTGCCGTTGCCAATGACAATCTGCTATTTTTAGGATATATTAGTATTATTAGAATGTATAATTAGTATATCTGAAGTAGAAATGTAATGTAATATATGTTGATGATTTAAATAAACATTAAATGTAATGTAATATATGTTGACGATTCAAATAAACGAAATGTAATTGTGTAGATGCCGAGGTGGCGGGACGAAAAGAGGTTGTAAAAAACAAACGGAGCGAGAGTAGCTCGTAGAAGTGTTTAGTGATCTTAATTAATAAAGAATTATTCGTATCATATAATCTGGCAAGTTAAGTCATTTATAATGCATCATGGCTTCTAAAAAA